AGACGACAACTTCAACTCCGGAATGTGCACTAATGGGCGGAAGCAAGATTCCAAAAAAAGATCTTGATGTTCATCATCTAGCCCCTCAAATACGTGATTCACAACCTTGAGATCGCACCTATTGGTCACGACTCCGGAGCATGTAGAAGGTATGTCAAAAGCATACTCCATTTCGGTTTCTAAAAGCATACACAAAAGACAACATATGTCATAAATTAAAAATTACAACATCAATCATAAATTAAAACAATCACATGCACATTATTATATTTTGAAATTAAGAAGTACAACATTCATACATCAATCACACACACATTGGTTATGATTTTCAACATAACTAATAAATGATTCTACTTTAACGATTGTTACTTTCGTTAAGGTTTATTTTTTTATCGAATACAACTATAACGATTCTACTTTAGTCATTCAAGTAAATGATCTTGAACTTCTTAGTCATCATTTTTATCTAACGAGTTCAAACTGTCGTCCTAATGTCATATATAACGAATATAGAATCGTTAACACCCCATTCAATCAAAATAGCCATAAATAGAGTAAATTCATCATGATTTTCAACATAACGAATTTATATTCGTTATGGTTATATTTCCATCTCGGTCGATTATATACACCTGTACCTTCGCTATTTCATACATTATAACGATATTTTACTCGTTATTGTCATAATTTAAGTTATTTTTAATGGATTCCATCATATTCTAAAAAGAATTAACTATTGTTATCTCATAATAACGAGTGTATATTCGTTTTACTGTAAAATATAACGAAGATAGCTTCATTGCTTCCATGTATACAACAAGTAGCATATCAAGCATTTCATCAAACACATAGAGTGCACTTTTACTATCTTCATTTCATTAAATCAATCCTACAAGCATTTCATCAAACACGTATAGTGCACTCATTATCATCTTCAATTTCATCAAAACTAGCAAACTTACATGAATTCACATAACACAATCAAAGGAAAGAACAAAAAAGAAATTAAATAAAAGATCACATTCGAAAAAAAAAACGAAAAAATTCATACCTAAGTTGGCAACAGAGAGTTCCATGGTGATCGTGCGCGAAAGAGGGCGAGAGCGAGAATGGGATTTCCGAGAGAGGAGGTCGACGGAGCGGGCGCAGGAAAAAGAGAGAGCAGAGAGAGCGGGAGGGAGGAAGAAAGAAACTGAAGAAGAAGATAGGAAAAAAAGAGGAAAAATCTTATTATTGAAAAGGGCATAATAGTAACTTCATATTTAACATAATATCTTATTAAATTTTCTTGCCCCATTTTGGTCAAGGGTTATTTAAACAAAATGTTATGTGGGAGGGGTTAGTTGAACTAATTTCCACAGTTTCTTCCTGCCCGATTTTCTTTTCTTCTTTCTGTTTTTTTTTTTTCGACTTCAAAGATTTCTTCACAAATTTTGAATATTCAGAGAAATTGCTTCAGGCTTTCAGCTGCACAACTTGCCTCTGCTGTAAAAATAAACCAACTAGCGATTTATCAAACGCAATTGAATCTGCATTTGTGCAGTTAATGTCACTGTAGGGTCCTCGCTTTGTGATTTGGGTGCTGAAAAACCTTGTCGATAGTACGTACACCTTTATATATATACCCAGCAAGAAAAGTTTCAATCAGCACTCGGTGAACGGAGTCCAAAATCTTGCCCTAATTGTTACAATTAGGGATTCGTATAAATAAGGGTCGCCGTGAAATAGTGCGAATTCTCAATGGATAGCGGCGGCACGAGCGCGAATGGATTGGAGCAGTCATTGCAGGACGGCAAGCTTTATCGCCATGTCAATGGTCTCATCGTTGCCCATCTACGCGACAACAATTTCAATCAGGTAACAGTGTCTGTACCCTCAGCTTTATTTTACAGGATTGCTTTCTTCCCTCTACTTGTATGTGATGGCTAGTTTTAGTTTAATCCACAAAGGTTTGAATTTGGTGCGAGTTATGCTGTCCCATTTTCGTGTCTTGAGTTAATCTCTGAAAGTTCGATCAGAAAGTTGGTTTTGTGTGTTCAAATATATGTTGTGCTTAATTGAGTCGAAGAATTTTGAATTTGGTGCTGAGTAATGCTGTCTCAATTTCGTGTCTTGAGTTGATTTCCAGAAGTTGAATCACAAAGTTGGTTTTATGTTTTGAAGTCGAGCAAAGGGAAGAAGTCCCCTATAATAGCTGCTTTTCGAATAGTTCAGAGCCTCGGATTTATCAAGTTAATGTTTTTCTGTTCTTTCGTAGGCAGCAAGTGCAGTTGCCTCGGCCACAATGACACCTTTGAATTTTGAAGCACCTCCCAATAAGCTCCTCGACTTGGTTGGCAAGGTTTGTTCTTTTTGGTTATTAATTTAGTTTTGATCGTTTTTGGTAGCTTTAGCAACAATCCATAATTGGAAAAAGAATATCCAATTGCTGAGAAATTAGAACTGCTCAATAAAGAGCTCTAAGTAGTCAACAGGGTCTTGCAATGGAGAAAGATGAGATGCTGAGAGGGGTATCTTCGACTACATCATTTGATTCAGGCATACCTACAGGATATGGTTCTATACCTGCTCCCCGAGTTGTTTCAGTTGATTTCAGGTGGTCAAACAGTCAAATTTTCCATACAGTTAGTTTTGACAATGATTTTGTTTTCAAAGGAAGTGATGAACTCTTTTAAGCTTTGCTGGTCGTTAGATTGAAGATTCAGATGTTTTTATTTTTTTCCCTGAAAAATTTGTTTTAAAACTGACCCCCCAGACCCCAACCAGTTGGGAATATACTGGGTATGTAAAAAATTGGTTTTAAACAAATGCATCCATTCTAGAACTTATAATCATTAGTATATACATTTCGCCTTCTTCTCTTCTTTTAAAACTCGGGTGTTTTGGGTTTTAACTGACTATTATTTTTGAGTGGTCAAATGTCTCTCTCTTTCTCTCTCTCTCTATCTGTATTCTTTTATTTTTTTACAGTGCAGTACATGATGTTAAAGGAGCATCAAAAAGTTTCCCGAAGCATGAGTCTCGGCATATTTCCGACCACAAGGTGAATCTTCATGAAGGCAATTTTGCTGGAACTTCTGCTTGATTAAGCACCTTTAAGCAGTGGAGAAATATGCTAAAGGAATTATTTTGATGAAAGTTTTGTGTTATATACAGAACGTTGCTAGGTGCGCTAGGTTTAGTCCTGATGGAAGATTTCTTGCAACTGGAAGTGCTGACACATCAATAAAGCTGTTTGAGGTTTTTTCTTAGTTCGTATGCATATCCATCTCATGTTACTTATCTAAGTGAATGGTTTTCCTCTACAACACACAGATGTCAAAAGTCAAGCAGATGGTGCTTTCAGATGGAAGAGATGGCCCTGTGCGGCCTGTGATACGGACATTTTATGACCACCTGCAAGTAAATTCCTGTAAAATTAACGAAATGATTTTGTTCTATACTTTTTCTTTATCTCTGCTGAGGAAAAATACGGCTACCTTTATTATGTAATCCTATATTTCTACTCTGTTTTCAGAAGAGTTTCCTTCACACTTTCAGTTATAGTAGTTTCGAGTATTATGCTTTAAATGTTGACCACATCATGTTTTATGCTGTTTGACTTATTCTTGCTACCTGCAGCCAATAAATGATTTGGATTTTCATCCTCAAAATACAATCCTGATTTCCGGGGCCAAAGACCGCACAATAAAGTATGCCTAAATTCTTATTTGCTGTTTGCGACTCATGGCAACCGATAAAGTTCAATGGCTTTAAGTTTGAGTGCACGTTGTTGACTTCCCCTATTGCTCAGCAAATAAAAAAAATAAAAAAAATAAAAAAGTTTGGAAGTTAATTTTTTAAAGTTTCCCTCATTTTCATTTGAAGCTTTTTAGAAAGTCAAGGGATTCACAGCACAGGGTGCTTTTTGAATGGCAGGTTCTTTGATTTTTCAAAAACAGTCGCAAGAAAAGCATTCAAAATTATTCAGGTTTATATTTATCCTCATTAAACTCAAAGTTTCATTGAATGTCTGAACAGAGGTAATTATTAAACGATTATCTTTGGTTCAACAGGACACTCACAATGTGAGGTCTGTATCATTTCATCCCTCTGGAGAATTTCTTTTGGCAGGTAATTACATTTTGATAACATGAAGTGACATTTTCTGTTTTGAGATGCAATCTATCTTAACATAGCAACTTTCATGTGTTCTTCTCTGTTCAACTAGCTTATCCATTTTCTGTTTTGAGATGCAATCTATCCATTAAACTTTTTTTTAAAAAAAAAAAAAATGAAGATTGATAATTTCACTCAATTGATATGAAATCTGCATATTACTAAAAGTTTGAGCGTAATTATCTCTTAGTTAATATGCAGATTTACAAAGATATAATAAACTACAACAATTTCTTTATGAATTTGGAATTCGCTATCCTAGAAACACCATGCTAGTGACCAACTCACATGGATTAGATGCCGCTAAATTGGAACGTAATATTCTTGATAAAAGAATTTGGCCTGAAATATCTCTGCTTGATTATAGGAACCGACCATCCAATTGCGCACTTGTATGACGTTAATACTTTCCAATGCTATCTATCAGCAAATATTCAAGAAATTAACAATGGAGCCATAAATCAGGTACAGCTTGACCTTGTTCTGCTTTGATAAAGAACCGAGATATCTTCCATTATTTTTCATGTCATGTGTCTATGAAGCAACAGCATTAAGTTCTGTCATGCAGGTCAGGTATTCATCGACTGGTGGCATGTATGTAACAGCTTCGAAAGATGGTGCTATACGACTGTGGGATGGGGTAACTTCTCAGTGTGTCCGCTCGATTCTTGGTGCTCATGGAACAGCGGAAGCTACTAGTGCAAATTTCACGAAAGATCAAAGGTAGAGAGGTCTTTATCGTGCCATAGAAATAATTATGAGGTTCAACGAGGCTTACCATATACAGTCATAAACTCCCTTGGCTGTGGGAAGTTTTAATGCCATCTAACAAACAATCACTATTTTTATGGGGGGAAAAAAAATCAAATACAAAAATAGATTACATCAGCCAAAAAGATGAAAATGGAATTTTGTTTTGCCCTCATATGGCTGATCTCATGGTTTTGGCAATCTTGCTAAACCAAACATTTGTTAAGTTTAATTACCTAAAAATTGTTTTTGGCCTAATGGAGTTACATGTTTAGGATTTTGGAAAACATTCACTTGCTTTAAGAAACCCCAACCATTGATATTGTAATTTTGTCACAATTGGCAAGTCTTAAAGCTTCTTATTTGGTCCAATTTAATGGAGCCTATGCTGAAATGTATCCAGCTTTACCCAAAGCCGTAAATTATTTAAGTTCAACCTGGTCCCCTTGAGATGTAACATGTAACTGCATTCTAAATAATTTCAATTTTAATCATGAATGGTTAAATTTTCATTACATATTTTGTTTTCTTATCATGTTATGTTTTTCTTATCATTTTTAATTGGCTATTCCTCTTGACTTCTCTTTTTTGTCAGATACATTCTTTCTTCCGGGAAAGACTCTATTGTAAATCTCTGGGATGTTGGGACAGGAAGATTAGTCAAGCAGTATCTTGGCGCCACACACACACAGTTGCGGTGCCAGGTATTTGAAACATTTCTTGATTCTCTATATTTGTGCACATACACTTCGAATCAAAAACTTATGGTTCATACAAAGTGCTGTCCATAATTGCTCATACGATAATTATGGATCGAATATGCCCCTGTTCAATCTTTGTAAGGACCAAAATGCAATTAATCCAATTTTTTTTGCATCCTGCTGGAGCTTGATTATCAGTGTGTTTAAAATTTTCATGGATGCTTAGCTGTTTTATCATACTAAAGTTTTGGTATTGCCCATATTTATTGAAGCAAATTATGTTTTATTACCGATTACGGGACTAAACCGGACCTCGTGTTGATGTCTCGAGGAAGGTAATTCGGAATCTAGAATCGGTGTCGATCAAACGCGAAAAGAAAATAAATCCTAAACATTCTAATCACAATTGAGGTTTGAGTGAATTATCTAAAAGCTACCAAAAATCTTAAAACAAGTACTCCCTCCTATTTATAATAAGTGTCGTTTTGAGAAGTTGCAAAGTAATTAAGAATATTTTCTTGGCCAATATTAACCCTCATTAATGAAGATAGAAATAAATGTTTTGTGAAAAGATTAAGAGTGAATATGGAAAAGCGTAATGTATTTATTAGCTAAATGAGGGTAATAATGAAAAAATATGTAAAAAAGATCCAAAACGTCATTTATTTGTTTAATGGTTGATAAAGCCAAAACTAGTGCATACCCCGTGCGATGCACGTGATACATATAATAAATCAATTATTTCTATAGGACTTTTACGTCTAGACAAAAAAAGAATAGGCTTGCATCATCCATATTTCACATCTTTTAATAAGTGGTGTTTATTTAAGCCAAAAAATTAACATGTTAATTAATATATAATTCCGCTAACACGTCATACTAATATTTATTTGATTTTAGAATACATATTTATTCATTGATATAAGAAAAAATAAAAATTTTATTAATTATTGTTCACCATATAATACTCAATTATTATTTTATTATAAAATTTACGGTCATATAATGTAATTATTAGTATTATTTATAAAAGTTATAGAAGTAGTCTTCTTTATGTAATGAAATTCAAAATAAAATTTTGAGTATAAATGTTTACGAAATACACACACATGTTTTTTAGAATTCAATTTTCTCATAATAATTCCTTTTTATAAAAAAAATGATTTAGCAATTGCCAGAAAATAAATCCCTTACATAATCAAGAGATTTTTTCTAATTTTCATCATAAGGCTTTATAGTTTATTTAACATACTATGCAATAGAAAAATATTTTACAACAAGTTCATTTTTGAAACATAACAAAAAAAAAGTGATAAAAACACTATCATAGTTGACAATAATATACAAATAAATAACATGTCGAAATTTTAAAGAATAACTAATATAATTTTATTATCTAACCATCAATAAAATCATTTAATGATGTGATCATTATCTTTTAAATAATAAATAATATTAATTTTTTTAAAAAATATTAGTGTTATATAATTAAATAAAGGTTAAAAAATATTACTCGACAAATATTAATTATAATGAATATCAGTAAAATCATTGCATAAATTATTTAAGGAAAAAATCTTCAACATCATATTTGGATAGTAAATGTAAATATGCAAGCATTTAATGCATATAATAAAAAATTTCTAAATAAAGTATGCATTAAATGTGTGTTGACTTTTCTTGCTACTGTTTTTGGTAAATAGGTAGGCTTTTAATATATATATAGATAGATGACATTTATAAAGAGTAGGAGGTAATAATAACAGTAATATAAGACAAAATAGATAAGTAGAAGAAGTGTTAGGGGTTATTAGGATAATCGCTTCTAGTTCCAACGGAAATACCTGGCAATCAATTATTTGGTTAAGAAGATTCGACTAATCTACACATCTACAGGTTTATATCAGAGAACAAACATAGACGACAAATTGGCGAAGCAAATAACAGGCAATATAATGATGAACAAGCATACCCCATACGAGCCTAGGTCGATCAACTTCTCCTCTTTCGGTTCTATAAGTCGTTTAACGTCTAAGGTTGTTTAACTAGATTAGATGTGATCAATCGATTAACCCCTAAGGATCGAGCAACCTGGACAAAATGAACAACAAAAAAGCCCGATAATCACAAGAACAAGAACAGTCATCTTCTATCCCTAGCGAATTGAAATTTAGCTCCTCATCTCGGAAATAACACAATCTATTCAACCGTATAGTTTAAATCCATTGACAAAATGAAATGGAAAACTTAATATTAAATTGAAGTTGGATGTCAATCGGTGATTACAAACCAAATTCACAAGTCGATTCTTGGAGTGTCTTAAAATCCAAGAGGAATGAGTATAGAAAACCCCTAAGACCGAAGATGAATGGAATTGTGATTTGGGGCTGGACACGAGTCCCCTTAAATAAGGCTTCCGAAAGAGGATAAAAAACCGTCCAGGTTCGACGATTTCTGTTGGACAAAAAATCTATAAAACGAGCGCAAAGGAACTCGGAAGCAGGCCAAAAACACGCAAAAATGCTAATAAAATCATACACGATAATATTTAAATTTTTCTCATTCGAATAGTACCGATGTGAAAATATATCCACTCTGGGTTTCTGCAAATAAAATCATGAAAGGCAACTGATTAGTATTTGGAATGTCACATTGTTCAATTGATTTCAGTTGGCTTTTAATTGCAGGCAGTGTTTAATGAAACCGGGGAGTTTGTACTCTCTTTCGATGAATCAAGCAATGAGGTAGACAACTTCCTCACTTAAACAAAAAAAAAAAAAAAAAAGTTCCGCGAACTTAATAAGATCTTTCTTGGGTTCATGACTGATATGTTCTTATTAATGAAGATTGTCGTATGGGATGCACTAACGGCAGAGCAAGTGGCTAGATGGCCTTCGAACCATATGGGCGGCCCTCGTT